GGATTGTCTAATTTTCTGGTGTCAATGTTACTACTTAGTTTGGAGCGTTTCGTGTAGTGCATTGATTTTTGGCATAATATTTTTTAGCCAAAAGGATATTTGTTGAGCTTTTATCTTCTTCAACTCATGAATCTTTATGTTTCCCCATGTTGACCTTGATAGAGTGTCCTGTTCACTGACTTCTTGGTATCAGCATTCCAGTTTCTTGTTCACTGACTTCGTGTCGTATCAACATTAAGAATGAATTATTCACTGGATAAAACCTCCCTTATCAAATAATGGCTTTCAAAACCAGTAAAACATAAAAAACAGACTCAACATATCTAGAATAATCTGAAATTATTGCATTGGAATAACTACAAAAATTCAAAGGAAAAATTAGAAAACGAGCGTGGTCTTTGTATTCAGCCTATCCATAATATTTATTCCACAAGTTGAATAAATTGTTATATGTGTGAATTTGGCTCAATTTGGGCTTCATTTACCTTTCCTGCGTTTTCCTGTCATTGATCTACTTGTGCTTTATAGTCCCATTTCCTTGGTTGATCTTCAGCATTCCCTCCTTTAAGTGATTTTGTCCACAAATTTAAAGAGGATTGAACAATGATAAGTGTTATTTTCAAGTCTCTAGGGCTTCGCACTGTGAGCTAAAAATAAGATTATGCAAATCACATAGAGGAAACAATGCAGTGAACATTTTATTAAGCTCAAAAGGTGAACTAGTTGAAAAAGAAATACCTATCTTGTTAGGTTTCCAACAAAACAAAGGTAGCTATTTTCCAGCACATAAAGCAATGGTTACAACCAGGGAATAATCAGCATTTAAATTTGGTTCAAGAACAGGGAATGATGATGTTCTATTTTATTTATTTAAATTTGGTGCAGGCAATTACCTCTACCAGGATTTTTATTTTTATTTATTTTTTTGGCTAAAATATCTGTAATATTTCTTTCTTTGGAAATTTTAGGTGTGGTTGCCCTAATGAACGCAATAGGCTCATTGAGTTTTTCTAAAATATTTTGATATTTTGTATTCAATTATATATGTATTTCTGAGACTAGTTTTGACATTGACTGTGATAAATTTATTCAGTATTTTTATATACAATAATAATGTGAAGAACAAGAAACAAATAAACACTTAAACATGATAGACAGTTAATTTGTCATGTTGTCTACAAGTAAAATACTAAATAAAAATAAGATACATCGCTTTTAAAAATTTAGAGAACAAGATAAATATATAAATGCATGTAATGAGTTATGGTGTCCTTAAAATCTCTATCACTAATTTGATATATAAAGTGAAGTTTTAATTCTATTGTACATCTATTTATTTATTAGAGTCAGTTCCACTTTATCTCTTCTAAAACCAGTGCTTCATGAGTTTAGAGGAATAAAATTAAATAATGCCAATTGTTAATAAAAAATTTAAAAAAAAAAAACTAAATTTTGATAAATTCATGATTTATTATGAATATACAATATAAGTAATGTTTTGCTTTTGTTTCCTCATTAAACCGCGCAGTGTATGTATTATGTATTCCACATTATTTACATTATTATTTAAGTTTAATCAATCTTCGTCAAAATATAAAGTAATATTAAATTCTAAGATATCATATAAAATAAAATAATGTATTCTCAACAATAACATGAAAATATTTTTATTAGGGTTTAAATTATATTACCGCTAGTTCAAAAAAGTGAACTACTTAAAAATAGTCATTAACAAGACTTTTAGGATAATTAAACAGATTATTAATTAAAATTTATGATTAAGTGAAAGTGTAAAATTATTGTATACTATTAGTGTACAGATTTTACATTTATAAACACATAACTTTGTTACAAATTAAAACGCGTAATTCTATTATTATTTAATAATTATAGATTTTCTCATACAAGTATTTCTCAGACATACCTAACCCAATCCACCAAAACACCATCCTCGTACGAAGGATATGTGACTGCCGCCTTCTTTCTTGTTATCAGCTCAAGCAAAACAACCCCGTAAATGTACACATCAGACTCTCTACTACTTGTTGTTGCATAAGCATTCTCTGTCCATGTCACAGACATGCCAATGCATAAGAAGATTTATTAAATCCGATTTGTAAAGGAAACACACATCCAATCAAGAATAATGTACAAGACTTACCTGGAGCAATATAACCAATTGTACCCGGCACAGCAATGGTATTTGAAGCAGGAGAAGACTGTTCCAGAAGTTTGGCAATACCAAAGTCAGCAATGTGAGGCACCATGTCAGAGTCTAGAAGTATATTGCTGGGCTTGATGTCTCGGTGCACGATGGGAGGGTCAGAGTCATAGTGGAGATAAGCTAATCCATGAGCAATTCCAACAGCTATCTTATACCAGACATTCCACTTTAAGGTTGGTGTTGGAGCCCTTTCATGAAAAACATCATGGAGACTTCCATTTGCCATGTAGCTATACAAAATTAGACCACAATCTTTTCTCAACCAAAAGTCTTCCAATTTGACAAGATTTCGATGCCTGATTTTCCCAAGGGTCTGAATTTCTCTCGCCATGCTTGAGTTCTTACCTTGACTCGCAGTAAATCTTATCTTTTTCATCGCAAAAGCTTTGTATGGACCTATCACAACTTAATTCCCTGGGCTTTGTTAACCCTCGGCAACTCTAACCGAATCGTATCAAGTAATAAAACTGGTAAGACCAAGTATTGTTTTCCCAAAAGACTCACGGCCTAGACAGTTATGTGATTTGTTGATTATCTAAGACTTGTAAAACCATTTCTTTGAGATTTTAAATGCAAATTACTAAAAAGTAAATATGAATGCATGTATTGATCAATGAAAAAGAAAAAGCAAAACACATGATTTGAATTATATGAATGATTATGTTGTTGGGGTTTATCAATTTCATACTATTCACTCTCATGTATTCAAGAATTCACCTTTCTTCATTAATGTTAATATCACTTTCTAATTTACCTTAAACCCGATGTCTCGGCGAAGAAAGCCTAATCGTAATTACTAGTTTACAATGTCTTGTCTCCCTAGCAATTATTCATGCATTATATAGCACAGAAGCTTAAAGGCAACCAACCATCATATTCATATGTCTAGGTTTATACTACTATTGGGAGAGATTCCCCAGATCTAGATTTTCCCGAATGTGTCCATATCGAAAAAATCAATAATCATGCAATAGAATGAGTTAAACAAAGCATGTATTGAGAAAAGAGAAAAAACCCTAACAGTTAATGAAAGAAAACATATATTATAAAGAACAAATTCAATACATGAGAGTTTCAAAGGATTACATTGATTCCCCAAAAACAATAAAGGTTTAGTTCACCATATTCATGGTGAAACTAGATGAAAAACAATGAAAGAATGAAAGATAGAACCCTAGAATTTGAAAAGTGGAGCTTGAGCATCCAAAATCCTCCTCCAAGGGGTGAAAAAGTGTGTTTCTGCTTCGTTCCAGCCAAAGATGATTGACCTAGGTCGACTAAAACCTTATATATTATTCTAAAAATTACATAAAAGTAAGCCCAAACCCATAAAAATGGCACTCAGCGGTAAGCGCGGACCTTCAGATTGACGCTCAACTGCATTTGCCCCTCAGCGGTGACTACGTGATCAAGAACGCCGCTCAGCGGTAATTTCCGCTGAGCGGTACTCGCATCTTCTCTTTTTGTGAACTTTTCACTTTCTTTTCTGATTCCAACTTCTTCCTACTTTACTTCTTTCATCCAATTCTTCTTAAAACCTGTAAAAACAAGGAAACCAAGCATAAAATCCATCCAACTCTCTTATTTCAAAAACATGAACAAAAGCATGATTCCAAGCTAGTTTCTAAATCATAAAGGTTGTCTTTAAGGTTAATTTTAAGTATAAATAATAATAGTTTTTCAACTGTTATCAGGCTTCTCTACCAATAATATATCGATCATTTAGGTTTTCTGTAGCCTCCATGACTTTGTTATGAAGGGATGAAGAACCCTGTTCAGAAGAGATATGGTTTTCCTGTTCTCCCAAAAACAATAACACAAACTAATTCCAGTAACGACAAACCAAGAAATATGGACAATCCAAGAAACATCTTCACAGTTTGAACTTTACTCAAGCCTTTCCGTTTAGTAGATTTTCATCGCATGATTTTAGAGAGCTTCTTTCCGAGCAAGCCAAGCAATCTGACGCTGAACATCTGATGCATAGGCCAGGATTGCCCAGGAACGATGACAAGGGACAATTAAGCAACTTCATCAGCGTGTTTGGTACAAGACCACGAAAAAAATTGTATGAAATATTGAGTTCCACTAAGGAGATGAGTTCACCAAGAACTTCTATGCTTCCTGTCAAATTGTTATGAGACAGATCCAGTGTTCGCAACATTTTCAGGTTCCTAATCTCTTTAAGAATTTCACCAGTCAACCTATTTGAACTTAGATTCAAACCATAGATCAAGTTCTGCATTGCTCCACCTGATATAGGAATTTTGCCTCCAAACAGATTGCCACACCAAGTTGTAGCTCAGAAATCATTTTGAATTCCGACAGGAAAGATGGGAGGCCCTCACTAAAGCAATTCTCGCTCAACCATTTCAATTGCACTTTTAGTATTCTTGAATGTTTCGTATATTTTCTCGAAAGGTTCCAGATTCGTGGATTTTATTGTTATAATTACGTTTATCCTCGTAATCCTTCGTCACGTTTTGCTTTTCGGACAGAAGATGCAGAAGTAATTTAATAAGGTTGCTTCAGATCAAAAAACCACACCCATTAAAAGAGCCTCAGAATAATAAACGAATACGAATTTTCATTAGCTATACAACAAAGTAGGAGTTGAGAGTAGGAAAAAGAAAATGACCGATGTCAGTTGCAGACCCATCACGCTTACCAATAACACTTACAAGAATACAAACTCGAACCACCATATTTTTAAGCCGTGGTAAGAAAATACTTCTTCAAAGAAGAATATCAAAATGGGGGTTTCTGGAGAGCGCAACTACACTGGAATGACATCAATCTTTGATGTGTCTTCACATCTCAAAATAAAACCCTCAAGGCTAACTGAAAATATACATTTAGCCCACTGGCATCCGGTCGTCAAAGGTTCAGGAGGAGGGACAATGATAAGTACATTGTCATTTCTTTGAACAACTCCCATTACGCTAACTGTGCTACCTTCTTTGATGTACCTACACAAAAGGAACAATGGAAGTCTCATAAGAATATCTTACCCACCTACCGAGGGTCACCCCAACTTAAGAGCCCATATGGTCACCATTAGTACCACTATGCATGACATGAATTATGAATTATGTACACGGCTACAGTTAGTATATTACCAATACGCAGATACGTTACACAAAGCAACACGCTATGAAAAATAGCTGCTTTTGCCTCTCCTGAACAACTATTGAAAAGGATTTAACCTTGACAACTTCCCGTTAGACAAATGCATAACCTGGAGATTTAAACTCTTACGCAAAGGGAAGAACTTTACCCTTCTTTTAATTGCATCATTCGATCATCACTTGAAGTATTTCTGTCTCTCAACCACCGAAGGAACTCTGGGGACATGTCTTTATTGTCAGGGCTAACATCAATTTCAATAGAATCGTCAACATAAGGAGTCACTCTTGCACCATAGCCTGTTTTAACCAATGCTCTCAGTCTAGATTGGAAATCAGAAATATAGAAGTCCACCACTGGCCTCTGCATTATATAAATGTCAAGGTAAATATTAAAATACTTGAGATATAATAATTAGATAGCAAAAAGAATTTCAAATGCAGGTCTAGTACATGAAGTTATTCTTAGTGACAATTTGAGAATATTTACTTAGTGAATAGCAGATAAAGCCTTCAAGGCATGAAGCCAAAGTCCCCAAAAAATTGGGCGGTCAAGAGCAAGGGGATAAAGGCATTACTTGAATTGTTTACTTGGAAAGTTATAATAATAATAATAATAACTTTATCTCCTTTAATTAGCTTGAAGACTCAGAGAACAATAAGCTTCAAAAACTTAACAAACCAATCTGTATAAGCCATTTTTAGGAGTAGTTTATTATGAATATGTAGCTATAGACGTCCTTGCCATTGTGGTAGTGAAACAGCTGACACCAATCAAGCTACTACCCAAGGTTAATCCCATAATACCTACCTCGGCACCCTGAGGGGGTAGGACCTCCTGCCATTCTCAGACATGAGTTACTCCTCTCTACTTGAGAATGAGTAATCACAGAATATCAGGATGAACATCAAGTTAGCATATCCATATTCATACTTTACAATTTCACAACCATACACGAGACATTCCTCCTTGGAATTCTCTTCCACAATATTTTAAAACATATATCTTTACCACTTAACATACAAATCATACATCAACTACATTGCCAATCATAATAAAAAGAAAACCTGTGGACATTGGAGACCGAACACCTTCACGCTACCCATCTGAGAGAAAAATCGAACGGTTTATACGAGATAACAGAAGAATTTAACCAAACGCTATTACTGGCCGACCACTATAGAAAACTGACTACTAGAAACTTAGCCCAAATCTGTAAACCCTAAACCGAACGCTCATAGCTCAAACTAATCCCTTAAAAACTTAGAACGAAAGCTTATACTATACCGAGCACTTAGATTGTATGGGATACTCTATCTAGACCGAATACTAGTTCAATATCTAAAACTATGACTAGAACGAATGGTCATGAATGAATAGTTATTCCACTAGACCGAAACCGATTAATGACTGAGTACGAGACATGACCGAACGGTCAATAACAACTGTTCGATTATTGTATGAACTCAGAAATCCCTTGCTCATACTCTTCACTAATGCGACGCTGATGAATCCAGCTTCGATCCATACTACTACACTAAAAGCAAAGAATCCACGAAAAAAAAAACTAACTTACGTAGAGAACCAAAAATAAATACCTATCATACGTTGAAGGAAAAAAAATAAACTATCATAGTATAGGTACACAAACACAAATATCTATCATTATAGATATATCATACGTCCAGAATTGACAAACACGAACACATATATCATACGTAAGAGATATTGAAGGAAAAAAAAAACAAACTTGAAATGGTGTCACTGGAGAAGATGACGAAGTTCGCTGACAATGAACGAACACAAATATCATACGTTGAAGGAAAAAAAAAACTATCATAGTATCATTATACATATATCATACGTCCAGAATCGACAAACACAACACAAACACGAGCACATACATCATACGTAAGAGTAATTTAAGAAAAAAAAAACATACTTCAAATGGTGTAACTAGAGAAGATGATGAAGTTCGCTTACCACGTATGAAAAACAGCCTAAAGATAAACGAAAAACAATCGATCAACCTTAGAAATGAGAACAAAATGACATTACAAAGACAGAAACAACTTAAAAATAACCTTCTTTCTTTATCGCAGTCCACCAAGAAGAAATTTCAAGCAGAAATGGAATCACGAACAAACAGTGAGACTGTGTTTTGTTTTTACATTCAATAAATAAATTTCACGTCAAATACAAAAAAAATTTGACGTTATGTTTAAAAACAACGTAAATGTCCCAAACCATTCGATGTTTTCTCTTAAAACAACGCGCCTTTTTTATTAATTGTTTCTTATAAATTGCAAAGGTTACATCGAATTTGAAGGGGCTTGGACGTAGTATTGGAAGCAAAAAGTTTCTACCTTTTTAATTCTTTTTACTTTTTTCTTTTAAACACGACAACATCAATAGAACGTTGAATTCCGTTGGAATTCGACGTTTTCTTCTTCTGCCAGTATAAAAAAGTAGCACACTTTCGGATCTTTTTTCTTTTCTCCCCTCCCATAGAACGTCGAAGGATGCAGGGCAGGAACGTGAAGGGAATTGAAGTAAATGGGAGCATTAATTGTGTGCTTAATAGAATGTCGTATTCGATGGGGCTTAGACGTTTTTTTCTTTCGCCAATACGAAAAAAGTGACGCTCTTATGATTCTTTTTTCTTTAAAATGAGACATGAAATTTTTTCTTTTTACTTCTTCCTTAATCGATTCAAGTTAGCAGTGTACTGAAATTTGCACTTTTAAACCCGTGATCAGTTTTTGATCAATATCATAACTACAGAATCTTCTCTTCTCAACTAGATTGAGGGTTAGTCCACATACAAAGCAATCAACACTCACAATTCACAGATCGTTTACTAAAATAAATTTTCATTTCATTTCAAAATAAAACCGATAACGGTACTTAAACCCAGAGGTCACTTAATAGCATGATTACAAAATATAAAAAAAAATACACATAGAAAAGTAGTCCCTATTCTTATGAAGAAGATTCCATTCAATTTTCATCAATTGACTCATCATCAAAATCTTCAGTTTCAAAGCCAATGCCATTCTTGTTTCCCTTCTTCTCCAATCTGAAAAGAGCATCTTCAACTCTCTCATCCCTTTCAGACTTCTTCCTAAATTGATCAACAACATATTTCTCAAAATTAGTTTTTGGAATGAAGGCAATATGATAGCAGGAGTAGGTGTACTTCCAACAATTAGCTCATCTCTGAAGAACCATCCATTCACAGTCCTTTCCGGCCCAATAGGAAACAGACTTCGTATACCAATTTCTTGTGACTTGTTGCACAAAAGTTTGTCTTCTTGAGATACATCTTGATATGATCATAAATGGGTCAAGTAGTGAAGAGTTTCAAAGTGGCAAAGTCATTTAGTATATTCTCTCTAGGTATGCACTTCCCCATCACATCTACTCCTTGGAGTATCAACACCTGACTGATAAATACTCCATATGGCAATTTGTGTGCATATTTATGACCTGCAGCGATCATACGGTCGTTTAGTACCGCAACTCAGTTGGTTGGGATTCTAGTCTTGATAGCATTCAACAAAAATACATCTTCTATTGACATTTTGTCCTCGAAAAATCTTCCAGCAGTTTCTCCTCCTTGTTTAAGCCGTCATGTAGGTACTGCTTATCCACCCTGTGCCTTCGTGGATATCTTCAACAGTTTATATATATTCTTTGTTAGCCATCTGTTTGACTCAGAATCACGAATATGAGAATCCAAACCTTCAGCTTTCAGTCCAGCAATATCTGACCAAACATTAAGTTGCACTCTTCCGTTAATTTCAGAGCTATCTTTTTTCTAAGGGAGGATACAACTTAAAGACAATTTAAATTTGAAATCTATTTACACAATTGACGTCGAATGTTGAGTACCCGTGATGCAAAGACCTCTGGAGTTTATTCATTGTTCACATCGTTTTATGTGATAACCGACGTCCTATACCCCCTTAATTGATTCAAGTTAGCAGTGTATTGAAATTTGCACTTTTAACCAGTGATAAGTTTTTGATCAATATTAAAACAACATAATCTTCTATTCTCAACTAGATTGAGGGTTAGTCCACATACAATGCAATCAACATTCACAATTCACAGATCATTTACTAAAATAAATCTTCATTTCATTTCAATCTAAAACCGAAAGAAATACAGAAACCATAGGTGGCTTACTAGCCATGATTACAAAATAAAAAACAAAATTCATAGAAAAGTAGGCTCTAAAATAATTATCAAAAAGATTCCATTGAATCTTCATCATCAGAATCTTTAGGATGATCTTGATCAAGAGTAGGTGGACTTCCAACAGTTTGCTCATCAATGAAGAACCATCCATTCACAGTCTTTTTCAGCCCAATAGATGAGAGACTTGGTATACCAATGTCTTTTGACCTTTTGCACACAATTCCTTCTTCTTCAGATACATCTACTCCTTAGAGTTCCAGCACCTTGCTGATAAATACTCCATATGGCAATTTGCATGCATAATCATCTCCTGCAGCAATCATGTGGTGTTTTAGTACCGCAACACAGTTGGTTAGGATTCTAGTCTTGATAGCATTCAACAGAAATACATCTTCTGTTGACATTCTGTCCTCGTTCAATCTTCCATGCAGCAGTAGCCAAGTCAGGACATAAGCAATCATTTTCTCCTCCTTGTTTAAGCCATCATGTAGGTACTGCTTATCCACCCTGTACCTTCCTGGATATCTTAAGTAGTTTATATGTATAGATCTCTTTGTTAGCCATCTGTTTGACTCAAAATCACAAATATGAGAATCCAAACCTTCAACTTTTAGTCCAACAATATCTAACCAAACATTATCGTCAATAGTAATGTTAACACCTTTGACCCTTGAGTGAATGATCCCATTTATAACCCTCAGGTTTGTGTATAAACCCTCAACCAAATTTGGATAGCAATGTCCTTTCATCTGCACAAAATCAGTAAGCCCTTGATATGCAATCCATTCTTGTAAAAAGCAACCCTTCATTCTTAAACAATTGCAGGTCAAGATACTTGTGAGGAACTACATTTTTGGAATGTGTCCAGTATAAAAACTTTCCTCGAATGTCTGGATCACTTATCCATCCAGATGGGCTTGCGTTTCTTGTAACCCGGGAAACCTTCTCTTTTCCTCTTGATGATGACAATGAAGAAGCCATTTCTGAATAAAATTTTAGGAACGTCTTTCACAATCTCGACTTCTGAACTTCTCAACTTCTCAGCTTAAAAAATACAAAGGAGACGTCGAATTATAGAGGGTAGGGATGTAAGATTGTCAGCCAGAAGAGAAAGAGTTAGAAAAAGACGTCCAATTCTAGGGATATTCGACGTTTTCTTCTTCATC